GCAAAAAGAAAAATGAAGTTACTAGAAAAGGGAGAGAATGAATTTGAAATTAGAGGTGAAATCGTAGAACGCGCCTCTGGTGTGACAAATAGGAATGATGATAAATTATGTAGACAATCTTCTTGTTCATATTCTTCACTGACGGCGCCTCAGTCCACATAAGCTTCAAGTATTTTGGCCATCTTCTATAGACCCTTGATCTTCTGCAACACAATCCTCGGTGACAGACAGAAGTGGTGGTGGTTTTCCAACTTTTACCCTCTTTACCTTTGAAATTCTGATTATGAAGAAGGCCTATGTTATTCTTGTTTGAAAGTTACGATTCCGAAAGGCGTTTCTTACTTCACACCTGATGTATGGTAGGAATGGAATTTCAGATGCTAACCAATGAATGCTTCGTATCCGACATAACTTTCTCAGAGTTATTAGTACATTCAGGAATTTCTGAATATCGTCAACCTTTTTACATCGTAAATTGTACTAACGTCTTCCGGACCTCATCCTGTCGAAGATTACTTAAACCCTGCCTCACCAGGAAGATGTTTGTGTTATTCAAATATCTCAGCAAAAATATCTTCAACTGTATCATTTTAATGTCATTTATTCAATGTATTATTAAATATATATTTGCCATTATTAGACACAACGGTGATCTCATTGTCATGTTCTTCCTGGTGACATATGATCCCAAGTGGAAGCATATTGTTTATAATCAATTTTAGTCTCCCTTTTGCTATCTATCCGGGATAATGTAAATTATCGCAAGAAAGCGTTAGATTCTAATTAATCTCAAACTACTGATCTTTGTTTAACATAATTCTTAAAAGACGATCTTTTAAGAACGAATTTCAAACTGACGTAAAAAAAAAAAAAAAAAAATTAACGTGTTCTTAGACAGAATTAAGTAAAGTCATAACAGATTATCCGCTATCTGTAAGTAACTTCAATTCACTATTTAACAGTCACGATCGTTTACCAGTTTTGTCAGACTCCGAGACGGAAAGATAAGATTTTGCGTCAAGTAACTACGGAAAATCTGGTAAAATATTTTGTTGTCGAGTAGCTAGCACCCCTTCAGCACTCTACCAGATGGCCTGGCTCATAGCCTTAAGTCCTCTACGATTAAGGACTTCAGCATTTGATTAAGAAGTTGATACTAAGCTGATTAATATTCAGACTGATCTTACTTCATTTGGCTATACAGCATTTGACCCTCCTCTATTCCTTGTAAGTTGTCTTGTTAATTGTTTTTATAACTTATTGTTCTGTCTTTTTTTTTTTTTTTTATCAATTAGGGATACTGGTGCTGAATAAATATATTAAGTAGTCATTCTTCTGTGTATCATTCACCTCGAGGATACAAAAAAACCATTTTAAACTCCTTTTTCGTCAGAGAACATTTCACCATCATCTTTTGTGTGTGTGTGTGTGCGCGCGCACACACACACACTTTCCCTAGGAGATATCGGGTCAGTGCTCTTTGTTCTTCCTTGGTGCACACTACCAGAGGAGCAGCCATGTTTACATTGTAACAGTAGCAAGAAAAATGGCGCAATCAAGCTCAAACTTCGATCACATGAACACCATAGTACCAACAATAAACACGCCTGAGCAGAGAGCAGTGCGACTAACCTAAAGACATCTTATGGCGAAAGAGCGGATAATTTTTTTTTCTTACCGGAGTTATATATATATATATATATATATATATATATATATATATAAACAAAGCAATTTTGTCATTGAAAACGATGAACACTGTAATATGTCTTGAAATAAAAAACACCTTGATTATGACATTGTGCTAATGTCGAAAGTACTCAGAATAACTTCCTTTAAAAATGTCACCAATAGGTTTGCCCGCGAATATGAAATGATCCATTTGAAAATAAGTAGACAAAACTTGCATAAATTATTCAATGAAACATTTCTCAAGGAAAACATGCTGCCAACATATACGCCACACACAAATATATATATATATATATATATGTTTGTTGGGTAGCAATCTCTCTTTAATACATCTTTTCTAGAACTAGACTACTTTTGCTTAATTGTTTTTCTGGGTTTAATGAATTCAAAAATTGTCCAATTGTTAGTTGATTCCAAGCACTTCAGTTAATTTAAACCCTTTTCAAAGATTTTTTTTGTTATACAACGTAGCAAGTCTCTTAGCAGAAATGTCCACTCTAATGTCCGATCAATACAATACTCCGGAATGATGTTCATTGACACAGAGGTTGATTATTTTGAGAGTAATACTTATTGATTTTCTTATTTGAATTTTGCATCTTCCTGATGCCTTTTAGTAATGCCCAGGTCGTTAAATTCTACGATCGTAGCCAGAAACAAAAATACAATAAAATGCGTGAAGACGTTGTCGGATCAAATGAAAAGCTCAAAAGAATTATGACGATGATTTATTCATCAGTTGCCTTGAGAATCTTTGCTTTCTTGTCACATCTCCAAGACATTATTCTCCATCGCTTCTTTCCCTTATACGGAATCACTTCATAAAGATGACTTCATTCCTTCCTAATCATTTTGGCGACTATGAAAAAAGTTAACGAAGAAAAAAAATGAAGTTAAAAAAATGAAGTTAAAAAGCTTCCCCATCAAAGAACACACTGGTTTGAACATTCATTCTTCCCCCCATGTCAAAGATTACACACACTGGTTTGAACCCTCGACTTCCCCCCATGTCAAAGATTACACACTGGTTTGAACCCCTCGACTTCCCCCCATGTCAAAGATTACACACTGGTTTGAACCCTCGACTTCCCCCCCCCATGTCAAAAGATTACACACTGGTTTGAACCCTCGACTTCCCCCCATGTCAAAGATTACACACTGGTTTGAACCCTCGACTCTCCGTTCCATTACGGTCTTTTTTTATTTAAAAAGCTTTCATATTGGTTTGAAAGAAATGTCCTAGTGTTTATTAAGAGAATATGAAAGATGATATTTAAAGTACAAGAGGTTTCACAGTTTTTGAAACAAAGCATCGGCCTCACAATTCTTGAATTCATTAAACTCAAAAAAGACACTATTTTTACGTATACAAGAAAAACAATTAAACAAAAGTAGTTTTTGTCAGTCTAATTCTAGAAAATATGTATTAAAGAGAGATTGCTACGCAACAAGCACTATATATATATATATATATATATATATATATATGTTTTCATTGACAAATGTTTCATTGAATAATTTATAGAAGTTTTGTCTACTTATTTTCAAATGTATCCTTTCATATTCGTGGACAAACCTTTTAGTGACATTTTTAAAGGAAGAGAGAAAATTAACTTCTTGATACATATTTATTCTGAGTACTTTCGTCATTAGCACAATGTCATCAATTCAAGACAAATATTACAGTGTTCATCATTGCTGAGAAAAGAAATTCTTTTTCCCTTCTCAGCTTATTACAGGGAAATAGTTAACAACGAAATATAGTGAAATCATGTGTTGGACGATGGAGCAGAAGATCTTTTGTGTGAAGACATATTACGAAACAAAGCCTCGTTGAACTTTTTTAATGTGCACTGCAGTTTTTGGATACAAAAGGAAAATAAGATTTATTCAACTTGAACCATAAAAGCAACGATTAGGGCTAGTATAGTATATTAATATATATTTTTAACCTCGCATAATGTGGCAACCCTGAATCTGAGCGCAATGAAAATCGTTCCCTGCGCACAACTTTTCTTGTGCTTTTGAATGCGCTGATTCGTTTAAATCGGAACAGTGGGAGCGGAAGAGTTGCTTGGACACAAACACACAATGCATTTTATATATAAGATTAGAAAAAATCTAAATATTAAAAAACATGGTTTACATAATGTCCCAAATAGTTATCATTTAGCCTTTGGTGAAAAATCCCCGTGAAATGTTGAGTTTCTCGGTAGATGGGCAAATGAGTTTGTTCCGTACCTAATCTCACAGAGAACTAATCGGCATGCTATGAAAATATCATTGCAAGTTATGTTCTCTCTCTCTTCTGTTCAAAACAGTTTTCAGTTTTCAAACTCAGGTTGCAGATTGAATTTCGAACCTTGCACCATTCCCGACAGTAGGTCTTGATTCGTAATAAGCTAAACTTAAACAGTAGGATTCTTTGTATCAAATATTAGTTTCTGGCTTCGGCAAAACATGCAGAGGTTCATTTCTACGATATGCAAATCAGCCATCAACCTACGATGATTATAAGCTTACTGTTGTGGAGTATTTTCACAGTGGAGGCTTGTATTTCTAATAAGTCGTACAAAACGTTAGGAACTTGGAAAATAATAGTCAATGACGCAGCAAATCTAGTTGTGATGGTTGGTACTTCAAATGTCCTAATCTCGACTGACGCGCTCAACACCGTTCAGTATTTATCGTTCCACCCACAAGGACCGAATATGGCACAAGGCCGGTTTTAATGTGGGTATCCCCGAGCCCGTAGGCCCGGCCAAAAATATAGCCTTTGAACCCGCCTAGACGGGTTCAGGCCCTGTCTACCTCCCAGGACGAAACCCTGCCCCTCGGCAAAGCCTCGTCCGGGTTCCTCTCTGCTAACGCAGATAGTTCGACAGAAGGCGTGCGCAGTCAGAGACCGCGAAACGCCATTCTGCAGACTTGCCACTGCTGCTTCTACTTATTATCTATGGGAGAGTCCATTACCAAAGAATAGGTACTATGGCACAACACTTACTTTATTGCATCGTTCTGGAATCATTTTATCTCATTAGCGCTTGGTGCTTTGAAATGAAACTGACTCTTCAGGTTTTCACTGTCGAAGGAAGAAATGGATGGAAGCAGAAAGAAATTGAAGACAACAGGAATATGTGAGAATCGTCTCAATTGAATAAGTGACCAAATATACAAGAAAAATAATGAGTGGTCAAACATCAAACGAGGAATAACTGCTAAAGAAGGCCAGCAAATAAAATTGATAAAATCTGAACGATGACAATGAGTTTGAATGGTAATGAAGCGAAGAAATAAAGCGAATGAAATCAGAACGATGTAGAGAATAAAATAAACGACGTTATAGGGAAGGCGGGGAAAAAAAGTAGAAAAAAAGGCAAAGCACAAACGATGTTTAAGCGAAAGAGTGAAAAGAAATGAAAAAAGGAACGGCTTTGAAGCAAAGGAACGAAAAAAGAAAAACAAACGAACGACGTAGAAGCCAACGAGAAAAATAACGAACAACGGAAATGAGAAGGAACAAAAAAAAAAAAAACCGACGTTAAGAAGCGAAGTGAAAAAAAAAACGAACGATATTGAAGCAAAAGAAGAAAAAACGAACGATATTGAAGCGAAGGAACGAAAGGGAACCGAACCTTCCGTTGAAGCGACGGAAATAAAAGCGAAGGAAAAAAAGGGGACGGTGAAGCGAAGGAAAAAAAAGCGACGGTGAAGCGAAAGGAAAAAAAAGCGACAGTGAAGCGAAAAAAAAGCGACGGTGAAGCGAAGGAAAAAAAAAGCGAAGTGAAAAGGAAAAAAAAAGCGACGGTGAAGCGAAGGAAAAAAAAGCGACGGTGAAGCGAAGGAAAAAAAAGCGACGGTGAAGCGAAGGAAAAAAAAAGCGACGGTGAAGCGAAGGAAAAAAAAAGCGACGGTGAAGTGAAGGAAAAATAAAGCGACGTTGAAGCGAAGGAAAAAAAAAGGGACGATGAAGCGAAGGAATGGAAAAAGAAAAAAATGAACGACGTTGAAGAAAAGGGGTTGGAAAAACGAATGACATCGCTGTGAACGAGATAAATAAAAAACGACAGAGAAAAGAGAATGATATTGTTTCTAAGGAAAAAACGAAAATATCTAGTCGAAAAGGAAAAAAAAAAATATCCAAAAATTCAAAAAATAAATGGAAAAATATCTGAACGAAGAAGTTAATGAATACATATAAAAAAAAAATAGAAAAAAATTACACACACAAAAAAAAAAAAAAACGCCAAAGAATTATGGCAACAATTTCTTCATCAGTTGACGTGAAATTCTTCCCATATTCTTGTCACGATGAAAAAAAAACTTCCTAAGAATCGTTTCCTTATTTATTCGCCATTATTTCATAAAATTGTTTTCATTCCTTCCTAATCTTTTTTTTTCCTCTTACAAACAAATAAGCAAAAATAATAATAATAAAAAAAGCAGCAACAAAATAACTTTTCACCTCAGAAAGTCCATGCCGGCTCGAAAGCGCGACCCTCCGCTCCGTAACACCAACGGGGCCTAATCACTGAAAACCCCCGTTGCTCATCTAGGCGGCAAATTACCAATTACCTCGTCCCGTCGGCGGTGTGAGAGAAAGGGTCGGCTAATGAATCGAAAGGTGGACAGAAATGCCAAAGGGGAGATGGGAAAGGGGAAAGGGGTGGGAGAAAGAGAGGTAAAGAAAGCATTCCGGTAAAATTACCAGAGTTTCGGGTAGATTCGACAAGTGCCTGGATTAGAAGAACTCGCACCTGCTAATGGCTCTAATATGCCTTCTGCCTTTGCTATTGGACCACTTTGATAACATTTTGCCTGGATGGAGAAATACATTTACTAACGTATAGACGTTGAGTGATTATATATATATATATATATATATATATAACAACTGAATTACGGTGTATTTGGCAAGTAAGGTTTCATTTATACATGTTTGGTTAAAGATCGATGAAGTTCTGTTAAGGAGTGCTGGTATTTTTTTTTTGTTTATCTCGAAACCTTTTACTGGTTTCCGGTATATATTCTGACAAGATAACACAAAATTACACGTGAAGACACGATAATTGAACATGATGAAACCGATACAACACAAAAAATGAATCTCTTTGATAAACCATAAAAACAATCCTAAATCTGCAATTAAATACAATCCTTCAAAAGGATCTTTTATTGACCATTATATATATATATATATATATATATATATATATATATATATATATATATATATATGTTGATTAATGAAATAAAGATACCCCCCATCTTTGTCGCCATATTTATCACCTCAAGGACACATGGCACAGTGGATAAAGACGTTGGTTAGATGCAGTGACAGGACCCAAAGAGTGTGAGTTCAATACCCGGTAAAGGCTGTGGAGAACTTTCAGAGGGAAATTAGCAGGAGATAACTGATAACTGACATCCATCAAACATGGCACGTGGAACTAGAACAGTCTACCCCAGTGAGAGAAATAAAAGGTTCAGTTCGAAATTCCAACCACCTGAAGGAGGCCGGAGCGTACAACGGCCGAAACGTTGTAATAAATATGGCGACAAAAATGAGGACAATAATCCGAATAATGTAAATGTACATAATACCTCATCTCAGAAATACAGACAGACTCTGAAAAGATACCCATATAATCATTACGATAAATATTAAATAAATATCAACCATTTGACAGAAATGAGGCAAGGATAGAAATGTTTTAACTTCAGAATTTTTGGACACGCCAGTGTCCTTTATCAAAGATCCAAGGAACAAACAGAAGTGGAAATTACTCATCGAGGTATGTTTTTAGGTAATGTATTTTCCAGTGGAAATTGTATTATGAACAAAACCAGATCTCTGCCTAATCAATTGATGTGAGAAACATTTTATGAAAATGAACTTAGATTTTCATCGGCGTAAAAGTGTTAGGCTGAGCTAGTGTTAATAACGTGTTCAGGCAGAGTGAGATTGTAAACATTAATGATTACTTGGCAAGCTCTAACGTGTTTTGTTGCTTGTCATGTCAGGATAAGTTGGTGAATATTTCCACCAGATAATGTTGAGAGTTATGGTTTGGGGAGGAGGAAAGACGTCTCCAGTGTAACAAAATTGGTAGATCACGTGGTCGAGTGTTGAAAGCCAGGAAACTATGGTTGAAATAGGTTGTGTTGAAAAGGAAGAGAAAGTAAAATGGGGAAAAAGGGGAATCTTGATCATTATAAAACTCTGTGAACGTCGCTTGTGTGTTTACCAGAAGTCATATATATAAAGAGTAGGTGAAGGAAATATATAAATTAATTACCGTGTAGGAAGTGTGGAGAGGACATGGTATGAGTTCGTCTCAGATGGAGACCTAAGTTAACATCCGGATTGTGGACATAAATGGTTACATTTATGTCCGCTTTTCACCTCTCTCTCTGACTTTCCACCTCTGAGATTTCGTGCTCGCTTATTTATATTTCATCTTTCTTTAAACAATATTTTATATATTTTAAAAAATATTTTTGCCATATTTAAAATGTATTTTTACTTTAACGTGTTTTGAAAATATTTTAGCTGAGTAATATTTAAAAATACGAGTTTTTTTTATATAGTAAATATTTATTTATTTCAAATTTCTTCAGACAGACAATATTTTAATACTGAAATCAACTTCCATCTCTATCTATAAAAGGCAGGATGTGTATGTGTGTAACGAATGCACGGCCGCGATTTTCGACGGATTTGCACCAAAATTTACAAGCACATGCTCCAAGTTAGCGGAAAGGCCAACACTGACTTTGCATTTCCCAAATCCCATCGATAGTGCAAATAATCAATTTTTTCATGATTCTACGGCAGTTTTCATGTAGTTTGCGGCCATTTTCTACTGGCCAGAGTGAGAGCCTATAGCTGGCTGCCACGAATAGGCAGGAAGATTCTATTGGCCAGCGTGAGAGCCAACAGCTGACTGACACGAATGTTAACTCGCATGCTAGCATACAAAAAAAAAATCGATAGCTGCATTCGTCACAAGTGGGAAAAATTTAAATTTGCATGGCACTTTACTCCAATTGGCTCATTCGCTTGATTAAACTCAACGTTGATTGTGATTCCGCAGAACTGGGTTGGGTGTGAAAAAGTATTTGTTGTTAACATTCTTTTTTTCATTCGGTTTTTCCAGTTACGAGTCCTTTTTTACAGCTGATCGTTTTGTGTTCATTTTGTTTAGTTCTTATTTCGTAACAGATTTAATGTTTAGTATAGAGCTTAGAAAAAATTTGCAGTGTGAGATAGGCAAGAAGTAAGGCATGTAGCAACATCAGCACGGAAAAGGGCACTCTTTTAAAGGCAAGAAGGGCAAAAATATTTTAAGTCAAGTGATAGCTGTACGAGTCGTACGATTTTTTAATCAAGCACGGGCAACGCCGGGCCATGCTGCTAGTGTTTTATAACCTGAACTGTCACGGGTAGCCTAGTATATTCTAAAATACAACTAACATATCATGATGGGAAAAAATATTGATAACAAAAAAACTGGAAATCTATTATTTTTTAAAAATAAAAAGTGAAAAAACTAAGACGAAAACCCGCATATATACATAATGTACATGCGTACATCTATGCATATAAATTTATGTCAAACAATCCCACACACGTATTGCGCCATACACATAAATATATATATTAAATTAATATGTATCTTCACTGCACATCCCTTCTAATTACATTAACTTGTATGTAAAAGGACCTTAGTGATAGATTCTATGATGGCATAAAGTGGGTGATTCTAATCAAGTTGAATGGAAAGTAACCCTCAGAATACTGGGTAATCTTTCTATTCTGGACTAGCCCGTCAGAAATTCAAGCATAGGCAGTAGAACATAAAATATAGTTGTTTAGTTGGGTGATGGGAATTAAAATTAAGCGGAAGAAAGGTAGGGGTGGGACAACTCTTCCGAGGAATAGTGTTTTTGATTATACGTCTCCCTGTGAAAATTGTACTAGAGATTCACTTGGAACTCCACTAAGTCAGGTTGTGACACCAGATCGGCATTTAATGTCGGGAACAGAGTGTTTCCACTAGGGCCTCTGTTCTAAGCTGGTCTCAGCTGGGCAAAGATTGTCTAAGCTAACCATAGCGGGTTATACCACCGCTACGTGACACATGTCATGCAACGGTGGGAGCGAGCAAGGGAGGAGAGAAGGCCTACGCACGCAACAGATACATCTGCAGCATCCACCCCGACGGAAAAAAAATAACCCGCTTCTGTTCCTCTGCCAATCCTCTCGGAAGAATCCGGAAGGAAAGCCCTAATCCTTGGTGGAACCCCTTGGGTTCTCCCTGTGGAAATTGTACTCTGAGTAAACCTATATCCATAATTAGTCCCTCAATATGCGAATTTACTTTTAGAATGAACTTCAATTCCGATCTGCATCTGTACTCCCGTTTGCCTAACCAAGATGCCAAAAGCACACAACCGACGTCGTCGATGCTATGACTAGGTTGTTTGAAGTGTATAGAGACAGAGAAAATTGTTGTCATTGTCCCTGATGTTCTTTTGTGGTTATTGTATCGTAGACGGAACTCTGTTACGGTTTCTCCCATATAACTCTCTTTCTTGCATTTGTAACAGAAAAGTAAATATACTACATTGGAACTATCACATCTTAGAGCTGGTGGTTTGAATACCACGTAAATGCAAGGGTGTGTTGCGCGTAATGAGGTGTTTTGCAGACCAGACACCTGGGTTTGTGACAGGTGACATTCCCTTGGTGAGGTGATGTGTTGCATATGTTGGATGATGTTACTCTTTTTGAGTAAGTTCACGTCTACTTATCTCTCAGTTGCGTCTCTGTCCTTGAACAGAGCGCACCCAGGGGTTTCTCTGTCAATGGAGAGAAGGGCAACTGAGGGAAATAATACTGAAGAGGTGCCCAGCCCTGGGGAAAAGCTACCCGAGGCTGCGCCCTTCCATTGCACCAGAGGGAGGGATCGGTGCTCGAACTGAGGCCAGCGCAACCGACGGTTGCGGTGGTCCAGGGGAATTTCTGTTCTTGTCCCGGGCGTACACACTCGGGTCCCCCACCTAAAAATAGACCTTGTGTCACATCTCGTTCAAGTGGGGGGGGGGGCAGAGTAAATACCATGATGTTGAAAGTCTTAAAAGGTTGAGTGGGGGTCTGTCGACTTTCGTGTTATCGCTAAATGTTTTTTTCTAATTGTATTGTCTAGTTTTAAATGCTGGAAATCTTTGGTTAGGTTTGGGAAAGTTTGCGGATGTTGCAATTAAAATAAAAGACAATGGGGACTGGAATTATTGTTAAGTTTCTTAAGTAAGGAGAGTGTTTCTTTTATGTTTGGACGCCTTTGTGATAGATTCTTTAATTGTTTTAAGTGGGTAATTCCTATTATGAAAGTGATCGCAAAGTTGTCGTATATCTTTTTTATAATCTTTCTTATGTGAAGAGATACATTTAATGCACAAGGATTGGATGTAGATTATAGATTTTGTTTTTTAGGTTGGATGAGTGGCAGCTATTGAACTTGAGGTAGCAATAACCATCGGTATTTTTGATACATAGCCGTACTGGAGATGTGGTTATTATTAAGACGTACCAGTGAATCCTGAAAAGGAAAGGAAGTGGTAGAATATTCCATAATAAATTTGATGGTGTTGTGGAAACCAAAAAATATGGCGACAAAGTTGAGGATAG